GAAAGCAATTTTTATAGCAATTTATATAAATAATTTAAAATAATACACATCTTCTTGAGTTTTATGGCAATATATATATGTTTATATATAAAACATGTGTATGTTATATTATTTAATTATAGACTTAAAATAATTATACTTTTTTTAAAAAAAAAATGATGACAAATTTTATTGATAAAAAATTGAAGCGCAATACAATTACGAACTGATAGACTAAGAGAAGAAGTCTAGCTTAAACATTAGTCACATACCCAAAAAACCCATATCAATAGAGTAGTCTATGTCACTTACTGATCTAACACACATTCATATACAATACACTTAGAGTTACGTGTTTATTGGGTAACTCGTTAATCAAATATAACTTATCAATTTCAATAAAATTTAAGTGAACCTACAATTGGAAATAACTCCAAAATTAATGACTCACTAACTACTAAAGTAATTATTTAATTAATAATAGTAATTAAGAAGCTTTTAAACTAGTGGTTAAATTAGAAATAGTAACATTATAAATACTCAACCTTTTTTGTTTCAACCATTTATCCTGGCACCTTTCTCTTGATCAGTTAACTTCTATTAATACTGTAAGATTTATATTTGCTAATTAAACATGTCGAGCAAAACTCAACAAGCTATTTTGCTACTACTTGTAACCACATGGATTACAATGTTGGTTCAACCAGGAGTTGCCCAGTTGTTGCCAGGGCTTCCTCAAATTAATCAATGTTTGGGATCTCTGAATAGTATTCAAGGATGCATTATATCAATTTTTACTTTCCCAATTGGAGGTCTTATCCCTTCTTCTCCTTGTTGCAATGCATTTCTAAATATCACTACTAGTTGTCAGTCCATCATTTTTCCTTTAGCCCCTTCTACTCCGTCGCTCATTCAAAGCTATTGCAATTCTCCGAAGGCATCTCCACCACTTACTAAATGATTTCATCTCCTTAATACTTAAGAAAATCAATAAAATTCCAGTGTAGATTTTTAATATCTTTATTTATTGGATTTAAGTGATTGAGTTTCTAAGGATGTTTTCTAATACTAATTCTTAATAAAATAAAGATTGATGGTTCTCCTTTTAGTTCATTCTCTTTTTCTCTTTTTTTTTTTTTTTTTTTTCCTTTAGTTTCTCATTTTTTTTTCTTCTCTCGTGCACTTATTATAATGGATACTCAAGCATCAACATATGCAAAAATTTATTTGAACTTTAAAAAAATAGTGAGATTAATTTACCTGCAAATTGAGCAGTAATTTAGCTTATATCAAAGGAGGGAGTACCACTTGAAGAGATGAAGTGCTTATGATATGGAAATGACTGTTGACAATCGTTA